TTATTATGTTTTAAGGTATGAAATAGTGATGGCAAACGGCTGGAGTGGTTGGGTATCTCAATACCTTTACACGCTCTACACCAAGCAGGAATCAATTCACATTTTAATTGAGTTGAAATATGACCTTACGTTTTGCATTGTAGGAGTACGGAGCCCACGTGATCATATTTTATACGGTGCACACAATCAACCATTTAGATAATTTTTTCGTATTTCTAATATACATATAAATACACGTTTAGTAATATAGTAACGAAACTTACAAAATGTTTGTCATTTTGGTCACACGATTCTTCATAAGCATGCATAATAATGTTTGTCATTGGTGACACGATTCGAGCACTTCTACTATGCTATATAGCATTGGTGCTTTAATGTACAACTCAAAGTTGTACCATAACATAAAATGTATAAGTTTAGGTTGTACCATAAAACAATTTATACCATTATGTTATGGTACAACTTTACAACCTGAAGTTGTACCATCACATAAAGGTACAAGTTCAAGTTGTACCATAAAAGAATTTGTACAAAAAGTATAGGTACAATAAAAAGTTGTACCATAACGTAAATATACAATTTTAAATTGTACCATAAAGACAAAAACCTATAGCACCAATACTATATAGCATTGTAAAATTTCTCGACACGATTCTTATCACACAAGTATGCTTTATCCTGCAAGTGTTAAGATTACGGTAAGAATTGATAATTTACCATAAACATATTATTAACTTAGGGCTAGATTAGTAAATTATAGCTTTAAGTGATTAAGGTTTACGGGTTGAAAGTAATTTCAATTTATCCATCTCTTCTCTTCTTGCTCGTCCAAATCTCTCTAAATTCCTAATTCACAATTATTTTCTTCTTCTCAATCTCTATTTTGTTTTATTCTAATCCTCTGACTCTCTGTTAAATCACTCTTAGCTTAATCATCTTATAATCCTATCTTCTCTCCTGTGCAACTCCACTCTCTGCTCTAATATTAAAATTTCACCTCGATTAAAGTCAATACGATTTCTCAAATCAATTTATGCTTTCCTTCTGTTTTTCTTAAAGAATGCAGCCATCGTCGGCTGCGAAGCCCACTAATTAATGCCGATCGTCTATTCGCCGCATGCGTGCATTGGGCTTAAACCAGTAATGTATTGCTGGAGTGGTAATCAAGGAAATGACAAAGAAACTTTTTCCGCGACTTCCATTTTGTTATTTAGGTTTGAGTGGAAGACAGGCAAGTTTTTAGGAAAATTCATACTGACACCGTGTTCAATTCATTTTGACCGGTTTGAATTAGGTTAAATACCCATGAGTTGGCTCAATTTTCATCAAATGAAATAAAAAATTTAAATGGTACTAAAGTTTTGATTAAGCGGACAGATTTTTTTCTACTTATGACTTAAAAATTCTAATAATAATTTTTCCAACAAGTATTAGGATTTTATTTAATAATGGTGTAGGATTTTTATTTATTTATGCAAGTATTATGATTATATCTAATCTATTTAGCTCTACCTATAGCTAAATGTCGTTCATAAAAAAGTTTCCCGAAATATATTGAAAATTGATCTGATTTTGTAGAGTACAAAGAACTCGTTCCATCTGTGCAAAAAAAATTGAAATCCGAGTTAGAACGAAGAAGATAAGAGCCGATTAAGAAAACTAGCGAAAATAAAATACCTTTAATTCAGAACCCTTAGATCTGAATTTTCTGGGTCCACTTAGATCTAAACTTCAAGATTTAGTTACTCATTGGTTGGTAACCAATGATTATTGACCGTATCCCAAGTCGACGGTCAAGTTTTTAACAAAACTCATACTGACACTGGGTTCAACTCATTTTGACCGATTTGAATTAGGTTAAATACTCATGGGTTGGCTCAATTTTCATAAAATAAAATAAAATTTTAATTGGTATTAAAGTTTTGATTAAGTATGCGGATTTTTTTCTACTTACGACTTAATAATTATAATAATAATTTGTCCAACAAGTATAAGGATTTTTTTAATAATGGTGTAGGATTTTTTTTATTTATGCAAGTATTATGATTATATTAAAACTAATCCTAGTCTGTCCAATGGCATTCGACCCCTAGCTTCCTGGAAGATAATCAGATTCCATTTTAGAATCAGGAATTCCTCTATCTAATCTATTTAGCTCGTCCATTGGCCGGATGAATTACATCAATAGTATAAATAATAATAATAATAATTTTTTATATAAACAATAATAGTAACTGTCAATCAAGTTACATTTTATTTGGTATCATGAAAGAATCTAAATTATTCAATTATGAAAAATATAAAAATTCATGTTTGACATATTTATCATTCATGGACAAAGTTCTAATCAAAAGTGAAAAACTCAAAAGAAAATCGATTCCTAAAAGTTAATAGAAATACTATTTAGTTTTCATTTGTTGTCATAAATTACTGCAAATTTTCTTTTGACTTTTTGTGATTGTTCAGCCATCAAAAACATAATTTTCTCCATGCGGTTCAACTTCGTTAATAAAATCTTTATATTTATCATCTCTAGTTTCTTCCTTATTTCACCAAAATCCATACTTTTGTGGTGAAATTCTAGGATATTTGAAACATCATGTTCATGCTTGCAGAATAAACCTCATCCAATTAATAAATATTATGAATGATTCGTTCTTTTGTCCCATCATTGAAATTAAAAAACACCTTTAATAATCTCTTCTTTCTTCTCAACAACGCTATTATCTCCATTATTAAATTCACTATCTTTGCCATTAACATACTCTTTCTTCGTCTCCAGCATCTCACTAAAAGCAAAATTTTCATGGTCAAATATTTAGAGATGTGAAACACCATTTTCAAGAAGTTCAATAATCAATATACCTCGTCCATGACTATGTCATGAACTCCGTATAAACTTATTCTTCTTCGTCATCCCTGCGTATCTTCAAAACTGTATACTCACTTATGGTGTTCACGATGTTGTAATAAGTGAGCTTGATGTGAAAAATCAACTTTATTAGTTTCTAGGGGATGAAGAGGCAAATGTCCTCCAATTCCATTACTATATTCAAATAATTTATGGGTAGGTATTCCAAAAAATATAGCTCTCTTGATTCTCGAACATTAAAGTAATATTTTAAAATTTATCCACAACTTGGAGCAGAATCCTAACCAAACAATAAAGTAATCTTTTAAAATTTATCCACAACTTGGAGCTGAATCCTGAGCCTATAAAACGCATCAATTGAATACACTATTTGGTCAAAAAATTTATGTTATGTGGGTACAATTTCTTTTATGAAATAAATGAGTTTGAAGTTAATAGGAACGAAAGACGAAAAGGTAGATTGTTACCTAACTACTCATCTTAGTGGTCATCTTCAACTGTTCTTTGACATGTTTCAATCAATACACTTTTTATAATATAATTATTTTTAAAACCGAATTGAAATGAATGAGATATAATAGAAGATTGAAAAATTCTTAATCGTAACCCTTCAGATTCGTGCCAGTTGTAATTAAATGAGGTTATGAACCAAAATTCCATCTTTTTTCCTTTGTTACATGAAGACCGAACTGGAGCATTGTTTTCTAATCAGATAATTCTCCATGGGGAATATCTTTGATAGGTAGAAATATTAAACATAGTGTAAACAAAATTATGAATTAACTTTAATTAATCAAATAATACTAAAGCATGTATAACATAACAAAGTAATTTGTTAGTGTGAAAGAAAATTCTGGTCATAACAATTATTTCATTGATGTTTTTTCTCCTAGTTAAGATTTTATGTGAAACAACGCTTAAGGGAAAACCCAGTGCCTAAAAAAAAATTCAATAAGAAATTAAGAATTAATTAGAAATCATTAGTAATTATATTCCTAAATATCCTCACCCATGCATAACACATAAATTTGGGGTTGTCCACATAATATACTTTCAACATATATCATGTAGATCCATTGTATCCTATTAATATAGGAAAGAAACTCCAAATATCAATAAGAGGACATACGTTCTTTATTAATTTATAAAAATATTTTATTTAAGAAATTCGAGCATAAATATTTCCCCTACAATTGTTAAGAAAGGTGAGATGAATTATTTGTTAGATAATTAAATCCACAATTTGTCTACCATAAATTCACATTTACATTATGGACATCCAATATGAAACATCTCAACAATTACACTCAAATTGTAATTTAAATAAGGGAAAATAGTAATCTATTGGAAAAAATCAAACATTTGAGCAATCAATAAACCTGCAAAATTTGAGGATGGTTATTAATATTTTGCCATGTTTGATTAAGCTTAACAATATGTTTAGTACTTTCTTTTAGATTTGTAATTAGTTATCTATATTTAAATACTCTATAAAAATTACTAATTAAGTAATCTTAGCCGCTAACACAAAACTGGATCACTTATAGATTAAAAATAAATTAATAAATTATCTGCTGTGTCGATTCTCTTTAAGCAACCAATTTAATTTTTCTATACATAGCAAATTAAAATCAGAGGTAAAAGGAATAAGATATTATCAATTAAAGTTCCTCACACTCATATATGGAGTGGATCTCTACTCAATTAATCCTGATTCTATTGGGTCACCATCATGTTAATATATATTTTAATTAAAACTCATTATAATAATATTAATCATAATATTTTAGTTCTTAGTTAAATCGGAAAACTAGTTTTAGTAGTAGAAAATTTTGTACCACGTTTATTGTAAGACAATATATATATATATATATATATATATATATATAAATTCGATTAAATTTATTTAATTTCAAAAGATATAAATGTGATCAGTCTCTACCTATACCTACACGGTTTCAGAAACGACTAACCAAACCCCAAAAGGAAAAGGTCATTAATTCCACACTATAAGTACCAACATAGATGTGATCAGTCTCCCAAAAACCTCCATACTACTTACTAGTTACTTCGTAGAGAGCGACTACTACACCATATATTGGTGTTTGGACGTTATTTGTGCACCACGATGAAGGGTTACCGCCGTGCATTGTTGGACGGGATGCTCTTCCTGTTGATGATCATGTTATTTGTGCCGGTGGTGCATGCGGCTGGTTCCCCGCCACTCAGGTTTGGCTTCTATACGCGTTCTTGCCCAGGCGCCGAATCCATTGTGAGAAGAACGGTGAGAAGGGCGGTGTCTCACAATCCCGGCATCGGGGCTGGGCTCATTAGGTTGCACTTTCATGACTGCTTCGTCCGGGGTTGTGATGGTTCGGTGTTGCTGAAATCCCTCCCCGGTGGCCCAAAAGCAGAGAGAGATCACCCGGCCAACAATCCCGGGTTGAGAGGATTCAACGTCATCTCCAAAGCCAAAAGAAGAATCGAGCGCACCTGCCCCAACACAGTCTCCTGTGCCGACATCCTCGCTTTCGCCGCCAGGGACAGCTCCCAGATACTCGGGCGCATCAACTACCCTATCCCGGCCGGGCGCCGCGACGGCAATGTCTCCAGCTTCAACGAGGTCACGCAAAACCTCCCTTCCCCGAGACTCTCGGCCGACCAGCTCATCCAGAATTTCGCAAGGAAAGGGTTGTCGGCGGACGAGATGGTCACGCTCTCCGGTGCGCATTCCATCGGAAGGGCCCGCTGCTCGTCGTTCTCTGACCGGCTCTACAACTTCAATGGAACGCAAGCTCAAGACCCGACCCTTGACCGGAACTACGCGGCAAGTCTGAGGGCCACGTGTCCAGTGAACGGAGGTAGTGATCCGACGGTGGCGATGGACCCGGCGACGCCCAATCGTCTGGACAACAGGTACTATGCGGAGTTGAGAGCGGGGCGGGGGTTGCTGACGACGGACCAGACGTTGGCGGAGAGCCCGGCGACAAGGGGGTACGTGGATGTGAACGCCAGGTCGTATGGTGTGGCGTGGGCTGGAAAATTCGGTAGGGCAATGGTGAAGATGGGTTCCATTGATGTTCTTACGGGGAATCAGGGCGAGATTAGGAGGAGCTGCAGCCTCGTCAACTGATATTGGACTGGACTGGACTTGATTAATATTTACTTACGGAGCTTAATTAGAAGCTAGGTAGCTGTAGCACTTTCAGATTATCACTTTTATTTCTCGTTGTTCAACGAATTCAGTACTTCTACTTGGTGGTAATGTAATTGTCATTCTTTATCCATAATTAATGTTTTAAGTGATGATGGTAGTTTGTAATTAATCATTCTTCTTCGCATGGTATTATTTTAATTGTTCGACAACACAACATGCACCCTCTCTAACAAAGGGAACGGGATTATTAGTTGCAAAATCTGCCGCGGCCCGCGAGTATATTGAGCACATCGTACGAAAACCATCCATCACCAATGGTTATTCACCCTATACTAAACCTGACCTTCCCAAAAGAACTTAAACCACTCTGGTAATTATCCTAAATATTCAAGTCGCCATACATTTATAAATTTTTTTTTTTACTCGGTCTAGTTTTTAGGTTTTCCCACCCGATGTACACCTCTCTTGTTATTCGATTTCTTCGCTGTAATAAGAACACAACAAATCAATATAAAATAGGAAAAAATAGAATGAACTATAGAAATAAACCTAATATAAAAACAATTATATGGACTATGGAGTACTGATTGTACGTGGGCACCGGGCCAGGTCACCCACTGGTTCTGCACGGTTAGAGTGCGCGCACGAAATATATGGGTCAGTTCGGCACGAACATGAATAAATCATGGGTCATGTCGAATCTAAACTTCATGAGCACGAGCACGACACAGTCAATAAACAGGCAGTGCCGAGACAAATATTTTTGAAATCTTGTTGAGTGTAAGAACAGAAATGAAATAAAAAGAATATTTATTTGATAAAAATAAATATTATTATAAGTTCAAATATTACAACATACAAGTACGAAAATAATTATTTATTATTTATAGAAGAGATCACAAAGATATATGTGTAATTACTACGGTAAGTAAAAACGGACGAAGAATAAAACAAAGTCAAATCACACCCCGTTATACTTCCAATTTTCTTTTCCCCCTTATTTGTTACATTTTGCAAGCATTTTCTGTTAATACTTACATTCTTCGTCCAATTCTCTCCCTTCTTATTACCTATTTTATGTTCTTCCTTTTTATTAAGCACAAAAATGAGTGCGGCAAGAGCACGAATAGGCACAGCACGATTCAAACTGTGCTCGAGCCTGGGTCAGGTCTAGCAAAAATAACAAACGGATTAACACGACACAAAATAAATCGGCACAGGGTGTGCCCGTGCCGGCTCAAGCACGATCCAACACCCACATACAATACTGACAGTGTAATGGCCTGCTTGGGGTTTCATTGGATACGGATAGGGTGCATAACTTTTCATAACTAAATTTGAGTGATTCATTTTTTGTATGCACCAGATCTAAGGGTTGGAAATTAAAGATTTTTTTTATTTTTTCTAGTTTTTCGTTCTAACTTGGATTTCAAAAAAGTTTGCACAAATCGAACGAGTTTCCTGTACTCTACAAAATGAGATCTATTTTCAATATTTTTTCGAGAAAACAAAATTTCATACCACCATACCAAATGGTATCTCATTTGTCCTCAAGTCGATTTTGAAATTTTTTACACAAAATGAACGAGTTCATCATGATCTATTGGACCTATAAATTTCTAGGGGTAAAATATAGGACCAAAAAACACCACCCAATACAAACTTGGTTTAGGAGTGATATCATGAGGTACACAATACTGAAAGTAGTAAATGTCAGTTAGTATATTCCTACTATCACGTATTCAACCCTTCAACAACTCCGTATATTCATCCCTCCATGATACGTTTCCATGCCACGTGATATGCTTTTACATAATACCAAACAATACCACCATGGTATAGACTAGTACTAAACTACTAAAAAAATAAATTATTCCAAAAAATATATCAAAGTGGATATCATAAATGGTGATGTGACGCTGATAGCAACGAGAAAGGTATGGAGGTGACGGCTAACAAAGGGAACGGGATCATTAGTTGCAAAATCTGCCGCGAGTATGTTGAGCAGATCGTACGACAACCATCCATCACCTTGACCTTCCCAAAAGTACTTAAACCACTCTGGTAATTATCCTAAATATTCAAGTCGCCATACATTTGTAATTTATTAGCATTGGGACCGACCCATTGGCCGGTGTGCTATAGACCCGGTACGTGAATTTTGTTTTGTTCAGTTGATAATGAAATACAATCAAAATCAATGACATTATACAACAAGCAAACTCGAAGTCCTAATTACATAATGAAATACAATCAAAATCAATGACATTATACGGCAAGCAAGCTCGAAGTCCCAATTACATAATGAATACAATGAAATATATAATATATAGAAACTTACAAAATGCACATCTGGGCAAACATATAACGTACGATTAAATTGTAATGGTTATTTTATTCATCCTTTAATAAAAGACCAAGTTACCAAGTTATTTCTATAACGTTGAGACCAGTGGATTTAGCTGTTGCTATTAGATGAATAAAGTTATTGAGGTTTCTACCCCTTCAACTCTCTATTTACATCATGCAATATCATATCTTCCCTCCCAACTAAGAAGCTAAGTCAAAATAAAATGCAACTGAAACTTCAATCTAGAAATGCCATATATTCAGCAAGAAAATAAACAATACAGAAATCAGGAAGGAATAGAAGCAAACAATTGAGTATGAGTGTGGTCAATTATCTTTAAGCTAGGGAAAGCTCAATTGAGACCAAAACACCAAGACTTACCAATTCCCATAAGCAAAGCAAAGAATCACTTAAAACACTACAAAGTTTCAAACTAACAATTTTCAGAGATTAAATAAAACTATCAACACCTGCCTACTCTTCCCAATCTGCTGCTGCAACTCTTGCAGCTGCTATGGCTTCTTCTTCATGGCTGATGATGGGGATTGCGTCCATAGGGGAGGAGTGAGCTGTATAGTCGTTGTGGGATAAATTAGTTGCCCCAGATGACCGGAATCCAATTCCAGAAGAGATTATATAAATGTGTAGTATTCATGGCTAAATTGAAGCGAAAATAATTTTTTTTTATGAATAAGCCAATTTTATTCCATCAAAGTACTGTCTTAACAAATACTGCTCTCCTTCCTACATAATACAACAATTTACATTTCGCAAAACCTACACTACTGCAATTCTATCTTTCTACACTTTCTATAATTCTTCATTTCTACAGGGTCACATGAACCAAAGTTTCCTCTTCTCTACAGCCAATCCGAACTGCATATTGCCTAGCACCATCGCCTCCATTATCTGCCTCAACTTATCAATTGGATCCCTTGCTTCAACTGCCTGCTTAACATACACTCTGCAGCATCGCTCCCGCCAAATCTCACTAATCATCGCGTTCCACAACACCCTTCCCACACAACAGCCCTGCAACTTCTCCACTGCCTCCTGCAAACTAGCTTCCCACCCCTCTCTAGGATGGTAATCCCAGCACGTTGGAAAAACAACTCCAATCACCTCCTGCACATAATAACACTCAAAAAACAAGTGGTCCCTGAACTCTTCATGCCCCAAACACAATGGACATTATTCACAAACTTGCAATTCACCATTATAAACAAAAAGTTATATATTGATATAGCCACAGTAATCCTAAATAAAAGAGAAAGATGACCTTATCCAATGACGAAAAACAAGCTATAGTTCTCAATATTCAAGTTTCACACATATTTTTTTCTTCTTCTTTTACTTAGATCTACTCTTTTAGTTTGCCATGGATGTACCCTTCTCTTGCCCATTCGATTTCTTCCCTGTAACACAAACATAACAACTTCAATATATATTACCAACAAATATACCAAACTAAATATAAAGCTTAAATTGAAAACACTTATATATAGAATTCTGTCCGTGATGCAGTGGCCTTGTGTGGTTCCATTGGTCGCCGACGAATTACACTGCCAAAAGGCAAAAGGGGAAACCGTCACGACTACAACAATTATTTTCCCGACAGTCCAACCCTATTGTTGGACACATTTTTATTCTCGATGAAGTTTAATAAAATTAGAAAAATAAATTGGCAAATATATATACATAATTAATTACGGTAAAAGATCTATATAGATTCAACGAAAAAAAAGATCGACATAAAATCGGATTTTGAACTACTTCCAATAACTTGAAAATTAATGAGACCAACTAAATATTGACATAATGTGATAGAGTATTTTTCTAAAAGAAATTTCATAATTATTAAAAGAAAAAAGCTCATGTGAATAACTCAACCTACATAACCTCGTGATAATTATTTTTAATTATTTTTTAACAAAACATATATCATTTGTTTCCACACATATTTGAAATTTTATGTTGAGAAAAATTGAATTAATTGTACACTAAAATATTATATTTATATTTTGATTATTTGTAACAAAAATATTTCATGCCTTGGTGCCTATTAAACGTAGCGTGTTACACAATATCGCATGGCATGTAACACACTTTTATGTCCTAAGTGCTACGTGCCACATAAATAGTGTTGCATTGCATGCATGGAACCTAAGACTATTACATTCGATGAAAAATGAAAATAAAAATGTATGCTAAAAACAAATTAAATTGGATATAGATCTCAATTACTGGATTTAAAAAAACGTAAACAGGTTGAAATATATGAAATATGGTGGCACCTGAACCTTAGCTGTATTCAAATCATGATAATTAAGTCCTACCTGATATAAACCTGTAATAGATAAATTAGTCTATTTCGTTTAATGGTGACCAACATCTTCTTTGCGACCCCTTTCACTGCTTTTAGTGGTCTTTTAAACTTCTGCAAAATATAAAAAGGGAAAACATGGGTTGGAATTGTCTCATTTCAAATTTCGCGGCCTAAAAATAGGGTTGGCAATTATCCACCCATGGGTATTATATCCAAACCCAAATAAACCCATTGATAATGGGTTTGGTATGGGTGATGTGCATATGGTTTGGGGATTTGTAGATGTGTTTGGGTAAGGGG